ACTTTGAGAATTGTCCCTTCTAGAAATGCCCAACTGGTTCACATTAGCAAGATTAATAGGCTGTTTTTTAACAATCTGACTGGAGAGGAGCTGGGAAATGCAGGAGTAAATAAGCCCTGAATGGGACATATTAGTCAACAGTGGGATGTACAGTAGAGACTTCTGTGCAGTTTCTCTTTTGAATTAGTTTGCAAATTTGTTTGTTACTTCTCAGTCACTGTTTCCTGTTATGCTATCCAATGCATTTGAGTCTCCACTACATTGCAAAGTCCATGTCCTGTTTCCTCACATCAGAACACATCCACAAGTTAAATATATGAACACATATTCATTTGTCGCAGAATGGGACAAATGATGCCAAAATTAATCAGGGATCATAAACTTAAAAAAAGATCACAGACATACCTTGGTAATAATGACTGTTTAAGTAGGCCTGTTACAGTATTTTCACTTGTCCCTGTGACGTAACTATATCTATTGTGCTGTGTGGTTGTCGAGGGGAACATATGCAGCTTCCTGTACAGTAGCTTCCACAGAAGTCCGAAATGTTCATTCTTGAACATTAAAAGATGGAAATTACATTAAATACTTTAAGTTAGCTATTGCTCAGGGAGGGATCAAGAATGTACCAATAAGGGTGAAATTTGAAGTTAATTTTGGTCTTTTTTTTATTTTGACAGTGTATTTGTAATGTTTACATTTTTAGCTAACATGGTGGAATGTGGTAGTGTGAGACAAAATAATACAGAAAACACCACAAAATTACTCATTACTAATACTTACTGATTCATCATACTCATTTGCACTTTGAATGGCGTACGTAGTTATACATGAGCATGGATGGCATTCTAAGATATGCCAATACCTTTGTCATCTTCCTGTCCCCATACATTGACCATGTATGGTTGAACGGGGGCATCTTTGCGTACGTCATTTCGTCTTTTGAGCGTACGTACACTTTTAGTATGAGTTCTACGAAAAGTTTTATAATTGAGACCAGAAATGGAAGATATGGCTGATGCTGTAGTTGAAAATAATGAGACACTAGGGTTGTCAAAAATCGATTCTCAGATAGTAATCGATATAAAAAATAAGTATCTGAGTAGATACCCATTATTGTTAACTTGGCCATCACACACCTTAACATTCACCATTTATCTATAAGCAGTTAGCCAGCAAATACATTAGCCGTATGTTATCATTAAGGTAGCGGATAGGTGCAATGGCTAATAATAAAATAATAGTTAATGTGGGAACAATGCAAAAGCGTAAAACATAAATATGTCCTGTAAAATGTGGTAAACGCCCAGTCATACTTGAAAAAAAATACCACTGATATAACTTTGAAAAATACCGTGATATAAATTTTTTCTCATACTGCCCAGCTCTATGTCCTACACAGTGGTCCTTCAGGACAGGAAACTGCCTTCTCGACTTTTTGTGCTTTTTGTTCTCAACCTGTGACAATGTCTGGACTAACACGAGATATTGTGACATGAAGAATTTACCAAGAAGTCTCAGCAAACATGAAAGATCGGATTCAGAATTAAAAGCTTTTAAATATGTGTTCTTGAAATCCTTTTTTTTTTGTACATCACTCTATACTTTAATTTGCAATGAATGAGTATGAATTGTGCAATTGCAAATTTAGAACATGTGGAGGATGCAGAGAAGATGCGCTCTCTCCGCTCTCTCTCGCCGCTATAAACATAATGTTAGCCAAATATGTACCTTACCTACGTGTGTGTAAAGAATGCTGATAAGATATGAAACATAACCAGCAGTCATTGTGCATGCTGCCAATTGAATAGTGAATAAGCTACTCTTTTGGGTTCATATCTCCCTCACCAGCCATGAACCTCACCACGCGTTACTGGGTTAGGGCTGGGTAGGAGTTAAGGTTCTCCATGTTGGAATTAGGGTTTTTCCTGTAGAAATGAATGGACGGTTCCCACCATATGTGTGAAATCATACTATGTATTTACCATTACTAAAACAATGGACTGAATAATCACTTGCCTTTAAGCCACCTTAAACAAGTTTCTGCCATTCTACCTACAAACATACTGTATGTGACTGTTTTTTCATAATTCTATGCTTATGGTTATCTGTTGCTGTTGATGAATATGGCATTGCTCTTCAAAATTCTCATAATTGAGGCCCCCATGCCTTGATTGTCACACTGTAAAGTTTTCTCATTCACACATCAAGTAAAGATTTTAAAGATTTCTTATTCACACGTCAATTGTTACACCATTTTTTAAAATACAAACTTGATTAGGTGTATTGATTCTGGTAAAGCATTTTTCCATTTATAGTTTGGTCTTAAATTTGGCTTGGAGTGGTGTTAATAAAGTTTTTAAAAGTCATAAATTTCACATCGGGATTTCTGCTATATGACAACTGTTAAATGTTAGAATGTTAAGGGATACTTACGTGCTGCTTATAAATGTTCTGTGAATGCATTATGAAGGTGCACTGAATGTTCTACTAATGCATTATACTGTAAAGGCATTATATAATGTAAAGCATTACCATTATTTTAAACCCTGGTCAGGAGTCCTACAAATAGAAAATAGCATTTTCTCATTTAGATAAATGCGAGAGAACTGCTCTCATGAGAATTAAAATAATCTACTTTAACTCATCATGTTAACACACACCAGGGCAGAAGGGCATGGATGTCCATTGAGGTCCTCAATGACATCAATAGAAGTGTCTCCAAAAAGGTTTTGTGGTCCTGTGGTGAATTTATCTCTGGAGATTTGCAGATTAAGGATCTTGGTGACAAGTCAGTAGCAGTATTTCATAGTATGGATGCAGACCTCAGATTGATGCAGCATGACCACAACCACACGGTCTGCTCTAATAGGCCTTGTGGTTATTTGTTTCCATATTCCACAGTTGATGGTATATACTTTTTCACTTGTGTTCAGTCTCAAGTAGCTGCTTGCTTTAATTAGTTTCAGATGACTTGGGGGAAAAAAAAACAATTTAAACAGTTTGTTCAGTGGCAGCTGAGCTTATATTTTCTTAGACCGAGTTTATCATTTGAATAGGGCTCCCCTTAATCATATGCCAACATTTTTACTTATTTTTAGAAAGTTTTTTTCCAGTTCTTTTTATCTGCTTCACAGCTCTTTTGTTTATACCCTCTATCTCCCAGGAAATAAATAAAATGTCAGACAGAAACAACCTAGAGAAATTAATTGTCATAGTTTGAAATGACAGTCTACCGCTCTGTCAGAAATCTTTATCTGGCACTGTATGCTCAGTGTCAGAAATGCACAGAGAGATGGGATTAATATCACAACAGAATTTGACATTGAAGAGACAGCTGCCAGAAAGTTGTTTTTATTGTGGTCAGTCCCCTCTCAGTAATATATTTATGGATATACACTGTACATTCAGTACACTGTCACCTTTGGAGGGGTCCCTTTCCCGTTCTTATTTATTAACATTAAAAAGAAACAGCACACGCAAGACAATGTATAAGAAGCTTCTGATTTCTTTGTTGCATGCAGACATTCTGCAGTCAGGTAAAATATGTGCACAGAAATAAATGGCATATGGTAAAGTTGAAGAGCACCCGTTAATTTTAAACTTGGGGATGCACTCTAAGAAGAGTCCTCCCATCACTACAAAATGAAAGGAAAAATGCATCTAGTCTTTTCTAGATTGCTTTTTATGGATGCTGTAACCTTTTATTCTCAATGTCCAGCCACTTCTCTTAATGCATGTGGAATTGGGTGTGATATGAAATATATTATATGGCTCACTTTCAAGCTACATTAACAGCGGAAAATGTATGAAAGGTCATTAATTATCTTCAGTTAAATCATATTTCATCATGTTTGTACGGCCTTGATTTGTACTGCACATGCACGCATGCTTGTGTTCTGTTCCCCTGATGCTCCTCTGAGGAACAAACACGGCTTCTGACTCAGGGGAGTATTCTTCATGAAAGGAGGCAGTGTGGTCTGCGGAGGTTTGCTCCATATGTTACACGGTCCAGGAGCTTGTCAAACAGCATCCTGCCATCACTGGTCCTTCAGTAGTCCTTCAGACGTTCAATAGCCCAGTAAATTAGGGCTGAGTCATCCAGGTAGAGCAGGATTAACAAGCTGTCAAAATCATGCAGCCTATTTATTTGCGCACAATTTGGACATATTTGGCTTTAAAAAAGACAAGTGAATTACAGCCACTGTATTCATTATGGTACTTTTGTGTTATTGGCAGTAATAGCAGGCTACTTTGATGGCTTGAAAATTTCTCTTGGTGCAATAGCTCAGACTTGTGGTGAAAATTAAAGTGCTTTATAATTGAGCAACAGTTTCACTGTTAGTGTTGTATTTCTTAACATTTTCTTTTGGATTTTTCACAAATTTTGTTCTTGTTTTATATGATTTATTGGTTTTGAAGTCTCCTTGAATATCCGTGTCATTATTCTACATATCCTGTGCATCACCATGGCAGCTGTGTCCCCATTTGATCACACTCCAAACCTTTTTGTACAGGAAGTTCACTAGTGACATGCAGCAGAATTGATTTTTTTAATCATACTTAAAGTATTTTTAATTTATTGTATAAATGTGTTCTGGAAATGTGTGAGTGACAGATAATACGGTTGGGACATGAGTCATCAGTATTTGTAAAGTAAGAAGAAGAGTTAGATGCATACTCCCCTCTCAGCATCTTTGCAATAATTTTCTAAGTATTAAAGTACGGAGAGAAATGTAGCAATAATGTTTGATTTATAGAAAAAAATGTGTACAATGTGTGTAACTGTATAACTTTGGAACAAAATAATTCTTGCTGTTTTATTTTTGCATTTTGAAATACTACACCTGAAATATTTTAAAGAGAAAATTCCGCACCGTTGTGATACTCAACAGTATCACCAGTACTGCTTTCTGTTGTTTAAGAGGCCCCTATATCTTACAGTAACTCAGTGCAAATGGTAAAACGGGACTGATTGTTGCATCTGCTTCTTTCCCCAGATATTGATGAGTGCTCCACACAGATGCACTACTGCCATGCCAACACTGTGTGTGTGAACCTCCCTGGCACCTATCGCTGTGACTGCCTGCCTGGCTTCATTAAGGTCGACGACTACTCCTGCACAGGTAGGAGAGCGAGCGCGTATGACAGAATGTGAATAATATGATTTCTTATGTTATAACAGTCAATACCTGTACAGTATATAGCAATACCTCTGTTCTTGTGTGCAAATTGCAGAGCAGTGCTATGCAATGTGCAGTAAAATTAACCATTTACCTATACTACAAATGTTACATTTTGTTTGTTTGTATTGGTATAAGATTATCATATTAAATTAATCAGGGAAGAGACTAATCTGGGAAGAGAATAGCAAAATTAATTCTGACTGCTAATGATTCTCTTTGGGAATGATATAAAACTGTAAAGCTTGGATGCATTCCAGAGAAAATTAAATAGTTAAAAATATAATTACTTGTGAAACTATGAAAGTTGTTTAGTGTAGAAGAGGGATTTGCAACTTTTTTAACTCTTGTGTGAGCACACAAGTAGCTATGAATCAAAGACTAGGGGGGCTTTAATATTTAATCATGCTATAATAATCTGATAATAATGCTGGTATTTTGGCAATTTAAGAAATGTTCCTATGAATCTTCTGCAACTGGATATTTTATTGATGAAGTTTCAGGAAGATTTGACACCCTTGATTTTAGATATGCAAGATTAGTTTTATCTATGCTAATGTCCCCACAAATCCTACAATCCAGCCAACAGAGAAAGAGGATGCCAGTTGTCTTGCATGGATTAGACCTAACAAAGCACTGGTACCTAATGGATTAATAACAATAATACTTCATTGATCCCAGTGGGGAAAATCTCTTTTCAGCTACTACATCTTGCTCTCTAAGACATACATAGGTGAGAGCAAGCTTGGCAGCAAAGGGCAGCCATCTGCAGTGGTGCCTGTGCAGCCAGAGGCTAAGGACTTTGCTCAAGGGCCCACAGACATTGGACTATTCTGTCACAGCTGGGTTCAAACTAGCTACCTTTTGATCATGGAAGAGAGGATTAGCCGTCTGAGCCACATGCTTACGTAGCCATGTCTTAAAGCTGTGCTCTGACTCTCTGAAGGGGACTTTAACCAGATTATTTCACTTTTATTGAACACTCATATGGTCCTTAATGGAGGGAAAGTGTCAATTATTAGACCTTCGCCAAAGCAAGCAGGGTCTATAGAATGTAATGATTTTCATCCAATGGCCTTATCTTCTATACTGGTCAAATGCATGTAGTGGGTCAGACATTTCACATCACTCCTCTTTATGTATCTAAAAACCGTTACTTAAACCCAAAAGTATTGGTCCAACTTGGATGTAATTTGGTACACGTGCAGACCAGCGATGGGTATGTAAATGATTCAGTTTGCAAGGTGCTGGCACGTCTAGTCACCAGGCACAGAGGATGCCTCGTAGACGCATTAGACAGCATTACCAGCACCTAACGGAGTTTGAAAGGGGTTGCATTATGGGATTTCATGAGGCCGGGTGGTCGTATTGTGGAATTGCCCGGCATATAGATGTCACAGTCGCCTGATGGGCGACACAACCAATGGGCATGTGAGGGCACCCACATATGTCATGAAGATTCCGGTCGCCTCAGACAGATAATACCAAGGGAGGATCGTCGTACTGTGCACCAAGCATTACAGAACCCCGTGACATCTGCACCTGCCATGCAGATACAGGTATTGGACTCTCTACAACATCCTGTGTCATCTCGCACCATGTCTCGACGACTGGCATCAGCCGGACTATGGGTTCACCATCCCATGCATAGGCTGCCGTTAAAACCAGCGCAGACATGGCTGTGTTTGGAGTGGTGCTGTAACTGGGAGGTATGGGCTGATGACGAGTGACATAGTACCATGTTCAGCAATGAACCTCGGTTCTGCAATACCATGGATGACCGTCGTGTGCATGTATGGTGGCCCCAAGGGGAGAGGACCAATCCTGCCAATGTTGTGGAGAGACACACCAGCGTTACTCCCGGCATCATGGTGTGGGAGCCATAGGGTATGACATCATGGTGTGGGGAGCCGTAGGGTATGACATCATGGTGTGGGAGCCATAGGGTATGACATCATGGTGTGGGGAGCCATAGGGTATGACATCATGGTGTGGGGAGCCATAGGGT